ACGTCCTTGACGGCGGTACACAGGATGCCACATTCACCAAATTTTGCCCGTTAAAGTACCTGTTAAAGAGAGAGAGTGAAGCAACATTGAGGCGTAGAGGAAGGGAAGAGATATTATCTAACAGTTGGACAGAAGAAGATCCACTCCAGATATGAGAGCAGTACTCCAAGTTAGGAGTACTCCTGAAGCAACTGCTCAGGAGTGAAGTAGCTATGGCATCTGGACAGCATTCCCAGCTTTAGCAATGTTGAGGATGTGTGGCTTCCATGACATATTAGAGGAAATGGTGAGACCTAGCATATCTATTTTAGAACTTGGCAGAATAATTGTGTCCTGAAATGTGATAAGTGGGAGGCCGTCTAGTTTGGAGTGTACAAGTAGCTGGTAAATACAGTACTGAGTTTTATTACTATTGAATTTAACCAAGTTTCTCCCTCCCAATTCGGAGATGCTGCACAGATCTGCATTGATAGATGAAATGATGTCAGCTCTAGAAACAGATCTAGTTCGAGAATTAGGAAGAAGGGAAAAATGTGATGTGTAGAATCGTCAGCATAAGAATGGATAGAATTAGTTGTAGTGTGAAGTAAATCATTAATAAAAAGAAGGAAGAGAGTAGGTGAAAGAACAGAACCCTGTGGAACACCACTATTGGTAGAGAAAGAGCAAGAGATCGATCCCTCGACAACAACTGCCATGGATCGGTTCTCAAGGAAGCTAGAGATTAGAAGACAAAGTGGGGGAGAGAAACCATAAGAGGAAAGTTTAGAAAGAAAAGACTTGTGCCATAACCTGTCAAATGGTTTGCAGATGTTGAGGGCCACGACGAAAATTTTCCCATAATCCCTAAGAGAGGATGACCAGTAGGAGAGCAGATCACCAGTAGAGATCACTTGGCAAAAGCCATACTGGTGATCCAACAAAAGAGAAAAGTGTTAAGTTAGGTTAGCTTAGGTTGGGTTGAAATTATGTTTTCTGGTGGATTTTGATGTGTTTTGAACAATTCTTACCTTCTTTTCTATAGCAAATTACTACTTTTGTGATTTTCCCCCACCCCATGACCTCTGGTTCCCACTGGGGGAACACCCATTATCATTGGATAAGGGCAGTTTTGTCAGGTAACTAAACAATTTTACTGGAGTACTGTACTCAAGTAACACCTCTGGGTATTTTCTTTTTAAAAAGTATATTCCAATTTTTTAGTACTTTTACTTAAGTATGATTTTCTAATATTGTACATTTATTACCACAATTGAATACAAAAATCGTTACACATTACATGCCCCAAGTAATATATTTTTTAATTAACTAATTATTATCTATTGTAAAAGAGCTGTGTGGGTGGGGAGACACCACGCAACACAGAAGTGACCGATCACCCTAGTGGCTAACAGACCAATCAGTGGTGAAGAGGATAAAAGTAAAAGTATGAGAACAGCACTACCACCAGAAGTTGTCCAATTTCATTCATTTTCCACACAGTCTTATCATTACAATATATCGTAGTAAGTATTTTAAGTGATGGTAAAAATTCGTTTTGATCCCTATTGGAATAAAAACGAACATTAACCGAGGTGAGAGACTAGAATCTAATAGAATCTGACCAAACCAACCAAAGAAACTTCCCTAACCTTACCTAACTTCCTAGCCCCCCCGGACCCCTGTCATATGAAACAGAGTACATGAGCTCCTCTCCTTAAGAACATTTGACTTACAAACTATCAGAGATACAAACATCATCACTGAGGGGGTTACCTATTAGAACAGGTGTTTAATGTGGATGAGACTGGATTATTTTGAAGAAAATTCCAGATAAAACAAACATTACCTACGAGTGAGCCAGGTTTTAAGGCTGTATTGTAGGGTATAGCTGTACTAAACTTACATTATCTCTTATTTTTTACAATATGTTTGGTGTCTACAACAGTAAAGTTGAACTTACAAACAATTGGACTTGAGAACAAGCCTCAGGAACATAACTCATTTGTAAGTAAAGGAGCAACTGTACTCATTATGATACCTGGTACCAGTGAAGCAACTTTGTTGAAGCATTACCGGATAATTTTACATTTTTTGTGGACATGAGTATGCCTGGACCAAGTGGGTTGGTTGTAAATTGAGTAGACAAGAAAATGCACTGACTTTGCGTATTTTTTGGAGGAAGAGTTAAAGTAAATAATATTCTTTTTCACATACAAAGCACATAGGTAAGAGACATCATTTCAGGATAAAATTTTTGTTTCGGTCATCCCTGTAAAGTATTTAGATATCCAATCTAATCTAGGCTAATATCCATGACTATACCACCAATGCATTATTTGTTCACCCACAGCAGGTGTTAAGTTAGGTTAGGTTTGGTTAAACTTTTAAATAAATACTTTTTAAACACATTTGCCATAACTACCACAGTGAAATTGCAGCGTTTTTAAATTAATATTCTATGAAAACTCCGCAAGGGAAAGTCGTCAATAATTACCTAAATCTAATCTAACCCAACCTAACCTAGCCACAGCACCCAGGAACTACTGTATATCAAACCCAACCTAACCTAGCCACAGCACCCAGGAACTACTGTATATCAAACCCAACCTAACCTAGCCACAGCACCCAGGAACTACTGTAGTATATCTAACCCAACCTAACCTAGCCACAGAACCCAGGAACTACTGTATATCTAACCCAACCTAACCTAGCCACACCCAGGAACTACTGTATATCTAAACCCAACCTAACTCAGCCACAGCACCCAGGAACTACTGTATATCAAACCCAACCTAACCTAGCCACAGCACCCAGGAACTACTGTAGTATATCTAACCCAACCTAACCTAGCCACAGAACCCAGGAACTACTGTATATCTAACCCAACCTAACCTAGCCACAGCACCCAGAACTACTGTGTATCTAACCCCAACCCAACCCAGCCACAGAACCCAGGAACTACTAGTATATCAACCCAACCTAACCTTGCCACAGAACCCAGGAACTACTGTATATCTAACCCAACCTAACCTAGCCACAGCACCCAGGAACTACTGTGTATCTAACCCAACCTAACCTAGCCACAGCACCCAGGAACTACTGTAGTATATCTAACCCAACCTAACCTAGCCACAGCACCCGGAAACTACTGTATATCTAACCTAACCACAGACTCGCCTATGAGTCCCCGGATGACTGAAACTAAAGTAATACCTGTATCCATTTTAGTGTCATATGATCACTTTTTCACAGTTTGCTAAATATTCATTTAATGGCTGAGGCTCCTTTTTGTTTTGAGAATATTTTTGGTGCATAGTTAGGTGAGTATTACTCAAATCTGACCTTTCTTTTTGGGCAAATGAGCAATTTTTTTTTTAATTAAAAGAAATATAATTTTTTAGCAGTAGATATCTTGCTGTTACTACTAACGCTATTTTACCGTGAGTGTACTCTGATTGGCTACTCATTCATTACCGTGGGTCAATGGTTGTGTAGATATAAATATACTTAGCCATATTTCTGTTGTACCTGGAAGCTATTAACCAAAATAGAGGTAAAGATTCGTTTTAGGTCGAACATGGACTTTCATATTTATATTTATATCGGAAGAAAGCAAATAAACTATGTTCTTTTACGTTTCCGAAGAAAATTTATATTTTTTGAGTATTTTAACAGACAACACCACCCCAATTACCAACAACATTGGTTGTTCAAAGTGGGCAGCAGAGGGAAAATGTGGGGTAAAATACTAAAAACACCGAACATGCCTTTGAAAACCTAACCTAAATTTACCGAACTTGTAAAAAGGCTAAATATACGGTAATGTCTGAGAACACCACTACCACCAGAATGAGTCGTTCGATTTTGTTCATTTTTTCCACAGAAGTTTTTATTATAGTAAAGGTGTAGAAGAGGGTGACCACCAGAAGAAATTGTCTGAATTAGTTTAATTTTTTCTAAACATCTGACCTAACATACCCATAGGTTGGGTATGTTAGGGCAAGGCAGGTCAGGTCAGGTTAGGTTTGGGTTTGTTGGTTGGTTGGTATTTTATTTATGCGATTTATTCAAGAAAAAATCAAACGTTTTCCGTTAAGATTGTTGGGTGGGGGAGGACGGGGGATTCTCTCAAAAACTAGTGATTTTCGGCGGAAATGAATATCAAATTCGTTCGAAACTCATCAATTATCATCGTAAAAACATATTTTTAATATCCAAACAAAGACCGTGCATAAGTAAAAATTTACCATTGTAAATGGGGCGACATTTACTAGAACCTGACCTAACCAACCAAAGAAACCTACTTAACCTTACCTAACTTCCTTGCCGGGGGGAGGGGGGGGTAGACTCCGTCACATTAAACGGAAAGTACTTAGCCAATCAGAACGATTTCAGGGAAAATAGCATTGGTAGGAACTTAGTCGATTGTGGAAAAATATACAGGATGTACTTAAAAAAAATCACTCATTTGCACAAGAAATGAAGGTGATATAAATAAAACACACCGAAATACACAAACACTAGTCTCATAACATTTTCCACTTTCAAATCATTGTTGAAACCTAACCTAACCTTGACTTCAAAGTCCTGCCAACTTTAAAGTAATATTGTTGGTAATTTTATCTATCAAAATACTCTAAAAATAAATAAATTCCGACGGAAATGCGGTAGATGAAAGGTGTCTTTGACTATTCTGACTGAAAAACGTATTTTTCATGGAAAAATCGACGCCTGGCTATTATCATAAATTGACCAATGAACGAAATCGAACAACTCCTAATGGTAGCAGTGTTCTCATACATTACTTACAAAATAAATAAGGATATACGGTAGTTTGTAAGATTAGTATAAAAGATAAGTCAATCACCAAAAGTTACAACAATCAACGTGTGTAATTTGAGTATTTCTCAGTGTATCAAACAAAAACTCGTTCCTTATATTCCACTTTCATGTATAATGTAACAATTCTTAGCGGACACTGGATAAAGTGTTAGTAATGAAAACTACACATTTCTCACTTGATGAATGAAGCAGTAGCTGTAAACAGTATAAATCACTACCAAAGCTGCCGGGTGACTGAGGTCTGTGATCAGGGTTGCCAGATGTACGACAAGCTTCACGGCCAACTTCACGCCAGCTTACGGCCAAATCGGCCAAAACTTTTTGGATGGGAAGCACTGTAGCACAAGGCTATTTTTGCAATCCACACAAAATAAAAGTATCCCCTACAATATCCACTGAAAATGTCGTAATAAAACCAAATTTTCACTTAGAATTGAGAGCCCAATAATTACATAAACATAATATCTATAATCTACAGTGAAGATTTACCTTAATCTGAAATGGTGGTGGAGCATGATAATGGTGGAGCACTTGATAACACTAGTTGGCGTCAGCAAAAACGTCTTGTTCGTCATCGTCTCCTGGTTTGTTATATTTTCTACCACTGTGGTAGAACCCTTTTCATATACTAGTGGACATTTTGAAAACTAGCACTCGGAATTTCAGAAAGTAACCCAGATGGCTTTGTAAGCTCTGAAGCTTAACCCATATGCTGGACACATTCTTTTATCCTCTTCGCCACTGATCGGCTTGTTAGCCGCTTGGGCGATCGGTCACGTCTCTGTCACGCACTGTTGGCATATACTGGGCATGCACCGGCTCCTGAATGTACCTGAACCCGCTCCAGTGTTGGTCAAGTCTTGTCTTGAAAGAGCTCACACTCGGTGCCGTCACAACACTCTCTGGTAGATTGTTCCAAGAGTTTACAACCCTCACTCCGAAAAAGTTTGCCCTCACGGTTTTCTGGACTTGCGGCTTCTTCAATCTTGAGCTGTGACCCCTTGTGGGGCGAGCGTCCGCCAGCTCCAAGTAAGGACACTCAACTGAGTAGTGCCCCCTGAGATGCTTATAAACCTCAACTAGGTCCCCCCTTGCCCGTCTGTAGTATAAGCTAGGCAAGTTCAGGCGCTCCAATCTCTCAGGGTAGCTGAGGTGCCGAAGTGCAGGCACCAGTTTGGTGGCCCTCCTTTGAACATTTTCAACCAACTGACAGTCCCTAGCATATCTCGGGGACCAGATGGGGTGACAGTACTCCAGATGGGGAAGCACTTCACTCCTGAAGATCGTCACGAGGGACGGACCGTCTAGATATCTGAACGACCTTCTTATAAGACCCAATAATTTATTTGCCTGATTTACCTTCTTCTCACAATGGCCCGAGAACTTCAGCTCATTGTCAACATACACACCTAGGTCCTTCTCACACACAGTCTCAACTAGTGCATTTTCTTCATCCCGTTGGGACATATGATACGCCTCCTTACCGTTGGTACGCCCCAGGTGCATCCTCTTACACTTCGTGACATTGAATCTCAGCAGCCATTTCTTCGACCATTCCTGGAGCCCACAGAGGTCCTTCTGCAGCTCTTCACAGTCCGCTTGGTTCTTAATTTCCCGAAATAACTTGCCATCATCGGCAAACATTTGTATGGAGGAGTGTACAACGTCAGGCATGTCATTTATGAAACAAACAAACAACAGCGGGCCCAATACACTACCCTGCGGTACCCCACTTGTTACAGGTACAGATGACGATTTCGTGCCATTAATCACCACACATTGCTTGCGGTCATGTAGAAAGTCTTCTATCCACGCTAGGACATTTCCCCGAATTCCGTACCCTTCCAGTTTGATTTTCAGCCTTTCGTGGGGTACACTGTCGAAAGCCTTGGCAAAATCTAGGTAAATATTGTCGATATTACCACCCCGTTCTAGAATATGGGTCCAAATATCCAATACCTTGAGCAATTGTGTTAAGCAAGAGCGCCCCGGCATAAAACCGTGTTGGCAATCTTTTACAAGGTTGTTTCGTAGTAGATGTTCCATCGCGGCATCTCTGATAATACTCTCAAGTACTTTACATATTATGCTGGTCAGGCTCACTGGTCTATAGTTGTTCGTGGAATGACTATCGCCCTTCTTGAAGATAGGACTCACATAAGCCACTTTCCATTCACTGGGGACCATTTGTTCATCCAGGCATTTACAAAACAGAATCTTCAGAGGCTCTGCAAGCTCGTTGCACAGCTCTCTTAGCACTCTAGGATGCACCATGTCAGGTCCGGGACTCTTATGGACCTTTAGCCTGGACAGTTTATTTCTAATACCCTCTTCTGTGAACACAATGTGGGTCAGTGCTGTGTCGAACCGTCTGTCCTCAAACGCAGGAAGGTTAGTTGCATCCTCTCTTGTGAACACTGAGGAAAAGAAGCTGTTCAATGCCTCAGCTTTATCCTGGTCAGAATCTGCGTAACTACCATCTTCAAGCCTCAGGTCTGATACTCCTACTCGCGTTTTCAATTTCGACTTTGCATAGCGGTAAAACGCCTTTGGGTTTGACTTGACCTCGCGTGCAACCAGCCTCTGGAACTCCTTTTCAGCCCTCCTACACTCTATCTTTGCTTGGTTTCTGGCTCTTGCATACATCCTCCTGTCTTGCTCATCGTTTGACCCAACCCACGTCTTGAATTTCTGGGTTTTCTTCTTAATTTTGTCGACCGCCGCATGGTTCATGTGTAGGGATCCCCTCGTATTCCTAGAAGCACTGGGTTTGGTCTTGGGTATATATTTATCGATCAAATGGGTCATTTTACTAGTTATGATATTCAGCGTAGTGTCTGCGTTCTTGTACCTTAATAAGTCAGGCCAGTTGATACCCCTCATCTCTTCCCTCATCCCATTGTAATTTCCCTTGTAATATTTGCACCTTGGCCTGGCCTTATCTTGAACTAGGTAACAGTTAAATCTGAATGACAACACTGTATGGTGACTGGTGCCAACTGGGGCAAGGTGTTCCAGTTTGGCCACCATACCCTCCTCGTTTGTTATGATGAGGTCAAGTGGCTTGGGTGTTTGCTCCCCTCTGTAATGTGTCGGGTCTCTCACATGTTGGAACAGAAAATTATCTCTCAGAGTTTCTACAAAAAGAGTAGCAGGATTATTCAAGTCATTCGGGGTGGACTCGTTTCTCCAGTCGATGTCGCCATAGTTAAAGTCCCCCATGATAAGGAGGTGGCTGGGGTTGAGCATCGCCGCATTGTTTATTAAGGTTCTTAAGTTCCTTTGATTTAGTGGGCCACAGTTTGGGGATCTGTAGATACACCCGACGATAAGTAAGTCCCCTCCCTTTAATTTAATTTTACACCACTTGGACTCTTCAAAAACATCCTCTCCCTGTACCCTCGCCTGGCTGGCTCTAAGGTCTTGCCTAGCGTAGATAACCACACCCCTCCTGCAGGATTCTTGAGTTAGGTTCGTAAATGAGTCATATCCAGCAATACTGAACTCACATTCCTCTGGGTCGATTCTCCTGTTCTTGTACAACAGTTCTACAACTCCTACAATATCTGGTTGGTGTACTCTTAGTAGTGTTTCAAACTCCTCTCTCTTATCAAGGAACGTGTCAGTATTAGTGTACATGACATTCAAGCCAGAATTTGTTCTCGGTAACGTCTCTGCTCTTAGTAATAAACCCGCTCCACCCACATTCTCAGAAGCTGCAGCATTTGCTAAGTACACTGTATTTTGCAGGGTGTGGTTAGAAATGTCATTGTTTACACGGCGCTCGTTCCCTCCTGTCCGGTAGGCTGAGCTGGTGCCGCCTCCCGGGTGGGGGGTTGAGTGGGTGGAGGGTGCACTGCTGCCCCCTGGCCCTGTGTCGGCACACTTGTTTCCACTACCCTCCCCCTGAGTATAACCCATGTACACCTGTCCCCGTTCCTCCTCGACTCCTCCCTCTTCTGCTTCAAGTCCTGCAGGAGCTTCTTGTGCTGTTCCCTCTGCATTACCGTGCGGTCTGGGTGAATAAATACATCCCGAAATGCCTCGCTCCTTGCTAAGTTTTTTGCCTGCCGAATAACTTGCCATTTCTCCTCCTCACTCCCTAGTGTGATCCTGAGGGGGCGAGGCTTAGCCCCCTGCTTTTGTCCCAGCCTCCTCACATCCTGAGGGGTTGCTGGAATCTTCAGAACCTCTGTGCAAATATTTTGAAACAGCACCTTGTCGTGTGTTTCCTTACTCACAGTTCCCTCCGCCTGGCTCTCGGTGACTCCAAAAACTATTACATTGTTCCTGCGCTGGAGCCGTTCCTGGTGTTCCTCCTCTCCCCTAACAGTAGGTCCGTTAATTTTCATTTCTTCGACACACTTTTTCAAAGTCCCAATCTGCTGTAGAACCTGTACTGATTCTGCATTACTCTCCGCCCCCCCCCGTGGCCCTCCTAATACGTCAGCATAACTCCTCTTAGCAACCACCTCCATTCTATTAGCTACTTCCTCAGTCTTAGCAAGGATCTCTTTCCCAACTTGCTCCAGTTTGTCAACCAGCAGGGCTCCTGCTTCATCTATTTTCGTCCCTAGAGAACTCGTTCCCTTATGGATTGCAATCGCTTCATTCACCTTGACTATGCAGCCAGAGCAATACCAGCAACAGCCATCATGCTTTACGGCAGTTAGTAACTTCCTAAACGTTGCATTAGTTAGGCCTGTATCCTCCATATCCGACGTCTCCCTGCAGTAATCACATATCAAACTCATGGTTGTTGTTGTTGTGGGGGGGGGGGTGCAGACTGTGTATAAATCTACACCTATTTCAAAAAAATAAAGAGAGAAAAAGTACTTAGCTACTCTCTGTTGCCTATAGAGTTGTCGTCTGCGACTGCGTACACTGTATCTCCCTGTGAATGGTGTATTGTAGGCACAGTTTCAGTCCTTGAGAAAGCACACAATCAAAATAAAATTTAAAGTCTCTGTGGCACCTATGACACGACTTGGTTTCAGCTGGCACGGTGCCTTTCCAGCTTGCTTGCTAGTGAGCGCTCACTTTAAGTTATTTACAACTTCAGCGGTCACTGATGACACTATGAACTATCACTGTGTACACTGTATCTCCCTGTGAGTGGTGTATTATAAACACAGATTCAGTCCTTGAGAAAGCACACAAACAAAATAAAATTTAAAGTCTCTGTGGCACCTATGACACGAATAGGCTGGCAGTTGTCCTTACCAGCTCGATTGCCAATATGTATTCACTTTAAGTTATTATAGACTCTTCTGCATTCACTGATG